GCACGAGACAAACGTTATTATAAGCGAAAAAGAAGGCGGGAATTTATGGAAATTATTGCCTTGATGTTCCGGGTGTTGAGTAATCGCTCGATAAGAATGAAGTATGTGTCAATAATGTAAATACGTCTTCGCACGTTCGGACGTCCTTTCAAGGATCTCGCCGAAAAATGTTTACGAAATCGGAACTCTGAATTAGTTTCTCAGGAATTTACATTAATTTGTGTGTCTAATTATAACTCCTGAAATTTAATTTAAGGAATTCCGCGACTAAAGATAAAGAAAGGTAATTTTATAATATACAGGGTGTTTTTTTTTAAGTGTTATATATTTTGACAGCAGGTAGTAAGTATTCATCAAAACAAGAAAGGTAATTTCAAAGAAAAAGAAAGGTAATTTTATAATATACAGGGTGTTTTTTTTTTAAGTGTTATATATTTTGACAACAGGTAGTAGGTATTCATCAAAACAAGAAGAAACTGTCTAGTAAACATGGGTCGTAAGTCAAATACCTATTAAGATATAGGCCAGTCTTTATCGTGTATATATATATCATACTATAGGAGGTGCTCTCGACGCGACAATACCTAACCCAGACATTTAACGGGAAATGGATTGGTGGTCGAATAGTTTGACCTGCCCGATCCCCTGACCTTTAATCCCTTAGATTTTCGGCTAAGCCGACATTTTTAAAGACCTTGTTGTTTTCAACACTCATCGATGACGTACAAACAGGAATATGCGTGTCAGCAAAACCGAAAGCAACCAGGTATATTAGTATGAGTGATTCTCTGAGACTTAGGGTCTGAAGGATGTGTGGCAATGAATGGGAACTACGTAGAGCACCTCCTATATAGTATGCGATAAAGAAACTTCATATTTTAACAGGTATTTAATTTAGGACCTATGTTTACTGGACATTTTTTCTTCTGTTTTTGACGAATACTATATCTGCTCTCAAAATATGTAACACTTTAGTTTAAACACCCTGTATATATTATATCCATCACGCAAGCCTGACAACGCAAATATTCCATTGCCTTTAATATTACTGACGATTTTTCTGACGTAATGTAATTCAAGAATTGCTCGTAACAGAATCGCCAATTTGCGAAAGCGTTTAAACGCGAACTCGCGATGTCAACAACTGACAACAGCTTGACATTCCGTGACGTTCTGATGACACCACTGACACCGGACGATTCCGACGACGTCGACAATAGCCGATGCCTCGACCGCTTCCGACGGCAAGTCAATCGCGAATGTCGCAAGACTCGCAATTCCCGCAATTCGAAGGCACACGCGGCGAATAAAGGGGCACAACACCGAGCGACGGTGCCCCTCTCCCCCTCGAGCAAGTAGCAGACGATTTCGCAATCGCGAGATCGAGGTGCGTCAACGGTATGCGAAGAGTGATCCAGAGATAACCCTACGAGTTATCACTCACGAATTCGCCGTATTGTTATCCCCAGCGACGAAAGGGTTACAAAACTGTCGCGTGCGAAAATTCCTTTTCTCCTCTCGCTCCTTGTAGCGTCGGAGCGAATCTACGATAGCTGGTAGCGATCCTAACGAGAGGGAACGATAAAAAGATGTATCGTATAGCGCAGTCCCTTTTTAATAAGCGAACCGAACAACGTGTTCCAGCGACAAAGTAATTACGGCGTCGCGTGACGCTCGTAATTTCAGTGGAAAAACAGCCTATTAAATCGAAGGGCTCGCGGCAACCAACAGCGTGATAAGCGACACGATATAGTTATGCGCAGCGGAGGGAGGGAAGGCTCATAAACACAATGCTCGCTCATAATACGATATCTATAAGGTGTACGGTAATCTTGAAAACTCGACGGGGGCCTCTCGCGTTTCTTCCTTCATTTATATCGCGTTACGCTGATCGGAGTCTGCCAATTATTCCGCGGATACTCGCGATCTGCCATCGATCCTCGTATATACTACGAGCGTTAACGTGTACGATCGCTCGCTCGGCGTCTTTGGCCGTGAGCGAGCGAGAGAGCGCGACCTTATTCCGGAGACAAGCGTTCCCGATCCCGTTGCATCAGCGGATGCACATGAGGCAGCCATGAATGAGGACGAAGGGGTCGCCGGGATCACGCAGGGAGCGGCGTTAAAAAAGGTCTAAGACCCAGACAACCGACCGGATTTTTTCTCTTCCTTTCTCTCGTCGCCCTCTCTCTCTCTCTCACACACACACACACACTCTTCCTTTCTTCTTTTCTCGCCCTTTACCTGCCTTTACCCCCCTAACCATCTGCGAGAAGTCTTTTATCTGACCTCCCGCTTTGTTTCCTTTTCGGAGAGTAAACGAAGATGTTTTGAAAATACAAAGAAAAACGAAATGGTTTAGATATCGGCTGTTCTGTCGCTTATTCGCTCGCTCCATAGCGCGCCGTCGCCGTACGTTTCTCTTCCTCTCCTGCGAGCGCCGCCGCTCACGTCGTATCTCGCGCTCGCGCCTTCCCCGCCCGATCCGAAAAAGAATCCTCCGCGATACGCAACAGGTTATCGAAAGGCGCTCGTGTGCGCACTAGCCGCGGCGCATATGTAAGAAAATATGTAAATGACATTTGTATACACGCCCGCGCGCGCATGTAGGTATACACACTTAACACACTCCAACACACAGACATAGGCCACGCACGACACTCACCGTGCTCGGCGACCGCCAAGGATCCGGCCAGGAGAGCGCACAGGACGACGAGCAGCAGCGGGATCCGCGTCGGCCTTCCACGTTCGTTCGCACCGTCAAAGTAGCACCACCGTTTCTCCTCACGCGCCATAATTGCGTCAACGTCGGCACGACGAGGGGTTTCTACTCCGTCTTGTATTTCCGCTTCGCGTGGAAGGGCTTCGCGCGAAAGCTAAAACCCAAACGCGAGCGTCGCGAGTCCCCCCTCGATATAGCGCGCTCGCCGACGAGGCGAGTCTTACGAAGCGGAGCGCGACGGAAAAGCGGCGAGCGAGTAAGCGCGCGCGCGCGCGCACGCTTGCGGCAGCGGCGGCGGAAGAACGTGGAAGAACGGAGCGAGGGACGCACAAAGGCGCGGGTGGCGAAGGGAGAACCGGATGGAGACCAAAGACAGAGGGAATCGAAGGGTGACTCGCGAGAAAGAAAGGGAGCGAGAAGACGGGGGGAGAAGAAAATAAAAGGGCGAAGGGAGAGACGGGGAGGGGGGAAAAGGGAGGCCGAGTGCGCCGCCGCGTGAACGAGCGAGCGGGTTCTCCTCTCGCGGAAAGCGGATGCTCCGGAAACGGTTTCGGTGCTCCGGAAAAAGCGCGTCTCCTTCGACCGTTCCGCGTAGCGTAGCTCCGCTTTTGCTCGCGCGGGGAAACTGTTGCGCGTCGCTCAAGAGAGAAAGATAGAGAAAGAGAGAACGGGAGGAAAAAGCCGAGAGAGCGGATTCCGCTAGCGGGTCGCGCGGCACACTGACGCGAGGACGGAGCGGAGACGATCGAGCGAGTCTACTGGGCTCGCGAGAGGGCTAGTCCTGAAGCGCGCGGCTCGCTCTTCAAACCGGTACCGTCGGACGACGGCGGACCACGACGGCGGCGACGGCGACAGCACTCGCTTGCGACGCGAACGGCATGCTCGCTCTCACTACTTCACTATAGTCGCTCGCCGCGCTCGCCAGTCTCTCTCTCGCGACTCTCGCCCACTCCGAAGCGGCCTCGAGAGTATCTGGATTATCTAGATGGTCTCATCTAGATGAAGCGCGCTTCGCACGCCAGATATCGCTCGCGCGAAATCCGCGCGAGGTGTCCCGACTCGCACCGTTGAACCGATGATCTTTGTACAGATAGTACAGAATAGTAGGTACGTTCTTCAGGAATCGAAAAAGTGAAGAAATTAAAAGTAATTGAAGACTAATTAGTAAAATGGACGAAGACATAAAAATGAAGAAGCGATATATTAATAACGGGTTAATTGCTAATGAGATAAGATGATTTTCTTCTCTCGAGCTTGGAGTATATTTATAAACGCGTGTAGGTCACTTGGATCCAGTTACTGTTAAATAAAAAATGACATTTCCTTAACGCTACCTTCTTCTTGTCGACAAGGAAGACAACTATTGTATCGAAGTAAGATAAGCTTCGTCAAAAGAAGAGGATGTTTTGCTGCAATCGGTTCTTTAATTTCGTGTATTTTATCAAATTGTTATTTGATGACGTAAGCAACGCGCAGGCTATCGATTGAGAGTTTCGATTGCGCGTTCGTCTGCGAATCGGTGTTCATAGAACGGAGAACTCGCGGAAGCGACTTCGAACGAAGGGAAGATCTCTTCGCGGGGCGAATCGGGGGGTGACACCGGAGATATCTTCGTGAAATCGCTCCGAGGATCCTCCAGATGCGAAGTGTCGATCAATTGATGCTGCCCGAGAATCACCTGGAAAATATTATTTCATTCAATTTTGCTCTGAAAAAATATCACGCGAATAGAATAGCGCCCCAATGTGAGCGAGTAAAATTGATAAAATATTTGTGCATTTATCGTAAAATTACAGACTTACAGAATTGTACAATTAAAACGGGAAAGAGACTTTTCAACTTTCAAATAAAAATATAACGGAACTAAATTAGAATCTAATATTATTATATAAAATTAAAACAAAAATTCAAAGTAAAATATCTTATTATTTTAGTGTATCGATATCAGTGTACCGATGGTATTGGTATTACACGTCAACACTGTTGTTCTTATTAGAAATTTCGATTTAATTTATGCTTCCCAGGTAGCAGAGTGACGTATTAATTCTGTCTTAATGACATTTTTAACGTCAACAGGAAACCTGCTACCTGGGTTTTTATCTTTTTCTCTTTATAGTGCTAGAAAAGGATAAAAAGTACGTCAAACCGAGAAAGTTAATCTACACTGATAGAAATGGACATAAATCATCTATTTTACCGTGACGTTCGTCTTATCTGAAAACGTTCGATGACACCGCTCGGCGTCGGCGTCGCGCGGGAACGAGAGGGCCGCGCGCACTTGTCGTCTCTGCCGATCTTTCTTCCGCAGCATGTACGATCTGTCGGTCGTGCGACGGATGCGGTCCACCTCGTCCAACGCCTCCAGGGTCGGCGCCAGTCTGGCGTCGCGTATCCTCGCGAGCTCGTCCCTCTCCGAGATCTCATC